AACACTGCAAATCCCTAAGTAAAGATGCCTAACCTCGTGGGAGATCTGTGTGACCCCAGGGGAGTAACCAAAACTTTCCAAGCCTGAGGCTTCAAAGTGTACATGAGGCCAGTTACCCACCCCACAGGCAAAAAGGTTTTGATCAACCACAATGCAATGAGCACCTACTGAGTGCAGGTTCTGTACTGGGCGTGATGGTAGGGGGTGACTGGTGATGAAACAGACAAGTGCTCCCGCCCGCGCAGAACTCACTCATTGCTGCAAAACCCTGGCACTGTGGTCACAAGGCAGGCACACGGGCTATCATTACCAGTGGTCGAGTGGTTATTCCTTCCTTCCTCTGGGCCTCGTTTTCTCATCTCCAGACTTAGAATGTGACCTGAGCAAAACGTTCAATGACTACAGGCCGTGGTACTGAATGGACACTGTCACGCCCATTTTACAGAAGGGGAAACTGAGGCACGCGAAACTGAAAATGGATTGGGTACTTAAACCTAGGTCTTCCAACTCACGGTCAGTGCTCTCTGAGCAGACATAAAGAGGCCCTGGCATTTTGGCTGATGATACAGCTGGATGCTATAAAAATACTTTCTTTTCCTCTTCCAGGGGTTAAACTGAAATGTTGTTTGCATACAGTTTCCTAAATACCCTTCGTGCCAGCACCCTTCACAGCTCTCTGGAAACCTCAACCCTGATGCCTCTGTCCAGTGTACAAGCAGGCTGGTGGGAGCTGATGAAATCCCCACGCAAGACACAGCCCCAGTCACATGTTTCAAATGCAAACTGCTGGATTTTGAGAAGCAAAGGCCCTACGTGGGCACCTCCGCCCTCTGCAGCAGTACTGAGTTGTCTACTGGAAATGAACCCAAAGAGTCCCCCAAACACCATGTGGTCCATCCCCCTATTGGTCAAAGACTTGAGGCCCCCTCAATTGGGAAGTTGGAGCAGAAGTTGTTATCTGATGAAACAAAAGCAACAGCCAACAAAAGTAAACCCAACTCCAGCAGAGGTGCCTGGAAAATTCTCTTGGGAAGTCCCTGTATGTATCTAACCTCAGTCTTGCATGCTTCGGTTTCAGCTATTTCTTCTCACTCTGTTCTAGAGGATGAGAACAATGTCTCCTTTCACAGGACCCTGTCTCAACTTCTCTTCACAATTCCAAAGCAGTGTGGCTTTCTTATCAACTAATCTTTCCAACTTTCTCACCCAGAAGCAGGTTTTTAGGCAATGATCGCCTAGCCCTAGGCAGTCATATCTTTCAACAAACACCGAAGGAAGGGGCAGTGAAGAGTTTTGTCCAATGTCAGCACAGTAAGCAGACTCTGGCCAAGCCCGTATCAGCCCCATCACAAAGTGAGGAGACCGGCTCCCCGCTTCTCTGCTGTGCACCCTTGGGCAAGGCGCCGCCGCTCTGGTCCTCGGTCTTGCCATTTGCATACAAAGAAGGAACTGGTGTTACTACCGTAAAGTCCGTTCTCTCCCAGCCACTGCAGAAGCTGTCCGTCCCCCTGCTGGCCCTGGCTCTGCACCCCTCCCCCTACCAAAAAGAGGAAAAGAAACTTGCGTTTTGCGTCTGGGGAGGGCGCGGGGCTCCGAGAGGCTCGAAGTCGTCTAGCTGCACGGATTGTTGCCGGGTGAGCGAATCTCACACAAATCCCAGGACAGTGAAGTCCCACCTCCCGTGTAACCACAGCTACCCCGGCCACGCCTCCAGTCAAACACAGCCCAAGGCCCAGCCAAGGACCACCCCCGGGTCCCCTGGGGACTCCTCCACCCAGCGACCAGCTCGGGAGCTGGAGACTGGAGAAAAACGCAACGCCCCCATTGTGCGGAGGTGGAGACTGAGGCTGGAAGGCGCGAAGGGCGGAGCCCCACAGCCCGCTGGGTTTGAACCGGCCCCGGTGGCGGGTCCACGGCTCCTTCCAGTTCCCCGTGCCACGATCTGTCTACTTCCAGAGCGCGTGGGGTTCCCACGTGCGAAAGAACGAAAGCAACGCCCCGCGCTGGGTCGGAGCGCGTCGGCGTTGTCCACTCTCCCTCCCCATTCCCGCGACCGAAAAACTGAGACCGAGTGTGGGGCGGGGGCCAGCCCAGGACCCACCGCGAGCCCCTCCCCACGTCTCACCTGCCGGCGCCGCGCGGGTGGTTTCCTGGAGTTGAGCGGCAAACAAAGGCCTCCAATCCCGGCTTGAGGCGGGGCGGTGACTCTTTGCTTTAGTCCCTGAGACTGGCCTGTGACGGGCGGGGCTCCTCGGGAAGTTCCACCAATCGCAGAGAAGAGGTCGCCTGCGGCCCGCCCCCCCAAGCATTTAGACCCGACTCCCAGCCGGAAAATCTCAAATCTGACCTCGCATCACTTTTCACAGTCCACTCGGTGCAGACTGACGACTGAGGCTGGAGTTACGACAGTAGTTACGCTCGCGCACAGAACCGCAGAAATGACCGCTAGAAATGACCAGCTGTCATAGCTGAACCGGACTGCTTCATTCTGTGGCAGTAAGTGCATGCGTTCATGTATGAGGCATGCGCTCATGTATCAGGCACCGTTGCAAACTCCTATGTTATGTCCTTTCCTGTGATATACACATTATCATCACTCCTCAAGTTGATTCCAGTCCAACTCGAGGTTTGATGAGCAGGGCCACCCCGGGCCAGAGAGAAACAAGACCTGGTCCAAGTTCCTGCAGTGAGTACAGGACAAAAATCCTTTGTCCACTGACAAGAGCAGGAGGATAGCCAAGGAGAAAGATCTAAGGTGTCAGACTAGCCAAGGAGCTCACCCCAGTTCTGCCGCTGGACTTCAGGTAAATGGGATTCACCCCTCCTGGCTTTAAGGGTTGTTGAAAGGAGTACATACGCATAGCACCAGGTCCTTAAGAAATAAATCAATGTCACCAATTCAGAGAGCCCCTCCACAATTCAGTTACAGGAGCTTAACCAGCCTGAGACAGGAAGTGACTTTTAACATGCCTCACCCAGCATGTTAAAGCCCAGTTCTTTCTCCTCTTGGCAAGCAGCTCTTCCTAGTTCCCCAAGTTGTAGGTTACTACACACACACACACACACACACACACTAACAGTAGTCAAAGTAATAGCTTCTATGTCATAAGCAGCCAGCAATTTATATTAACTTTATGCTACCCATTTGAAATGGGGAAACTGAAGCTCAGAGAGGTTAAGTGACTTGTCCCAGGTCACACAGCTAAGACATGGTTAAAGTGGAATTTGATCTCAGGTGTTGAACTTTGTGGTCTGTGCCCCCTTCTCTGTCCTTGTACGCCCTACGCTGGGTTCCTCTACGTCTTAGCCCTCTTCTTCCTAAGCAGAAGGGATTCCACATTACTTGAAGGCCAACTTGGAACTTGACTGGACAGGTCAAAAAACCTCACCCTTTCCCTGCCTTCCTCTTCATTTAGCAGCAGACCCTGGACTCTCGCTGTGCCTCCCCACCCCTGTTCTGATGTTACCCAGATGTTGGTGCCATGGATACATGTGGCCACGATTAACTTCCTTTCCCTCCCTCCCTTCATGCTCAAAGCTGTCTTTAGCCATGCTACTGGGTCTCTGAGAGACAGCAGGACACATACTTGTCCTGGGACTTTATGTTGTGGACCTCAGACAGCTGTGGGTCCAGATTTGACCTCTACCACTTCCTAGCGATGCAACTTCGGGCAAGCAATTTGCCCTTTCTACACCCACTTGAAAAGGAATTTTTTTGGTGTTTAAAATTCCACTGGGAGGGGGACCTTCACCCGTAGTGGGCCAGAATCAGGACCAGGAATTCCAGAAGGCAAAAGTTCCGGAAACCAATTCTTGTCCTACTTTATGAGAGTACAAACTCGGAGCAGCTCACACCAGCAAAGTCCCGTTGCCATAGGAAGTCACATTCACAGGGTCAGGAATTGGAATCTGGACACTGGGGGAGGGGTGCCATTGTTCAATGGGCCACATCCATTTGATGGAGAAATTGAGGCTCAGAAGAGCAAAATCACTTGCCCATGAGTACATGAAATTCTGACGCCCGATGCGGGCCTGGGAAAACATCTTCTGCAGCAAGCTGGGTTATTCTTCCCTGCAGGAGAATAATAGTAATAATAGCGAATAATAATAATGGGTCTAGGGAGGACACAGTGTCCCTGGAGGGCCTGGAGCCTCAGGGAAATGGCTGCTTCAGAGGTGAAGTGGAGCCCAGTTCTGGCCTGTGAAGGCTGAAGCAGGAGACTGCTGAGAAGAGCAAAGAGCTGGAGTAGGTGCAGATCTGTGGAATTAACTGCCCCTGATCCACTGCCCTGGGACACTGGCTGGACAAGGCACGACTCCTCAACCTCGCCTGGCCCCAGGGAAACTGGGGGTGGGTGGGTAGGAACTGGGCACTGGGGATGAGCACTGAGGCTGTGGAGCGGCCATTTTTGCTGGCTTGCTCCCACCCCTCCCGGTGTTCTCACTTCACATTCCCACTGGCTTTGCCTCTGAAACAGACGGACCTGTACAAGAAGAGCAGAGAGAGTCTGGGACGTTCTGGCCTCTCCCCCCAGGCCTTGTTCAGAGAGTGGCCACAGTGAAAGACCTCGTCCTTTTGCTCTGAGTGTGGACAGCACTAGGCCTGACTCACACTCCAGGACATACACACAGGGGGGTCTTCCTTAAAGAGTCACTGGAGTACAAAGCCTCATTTCAGAGTCAGCTTTTGAGACCCACCTCCTCTCTGAGTCTTAAGACTGAGATCAGACCCAACAGGCTGAGCTGCTCACCCTGCCTCCCCCCCCCACCCCCCACACACGTCCTGTGTGTTGTAATCTGAAGGCATTATTATCTGCGAAGAACCGCTGATGAAGACACTCCGGGATGCAGCGTGGTCCGAGGGTCCCCAACCCTCCCAAGCACCCTCATGTTGCAGACTGCACTTGGGGACAGCACCAGAGGACACTGCTGTGCAGTGCTGTCCTCCCCACCCTCACGAAGCCCTGGCCGCACCGGGAGGTCACACGAACACTGGCCTCTAAGCTTGTTCAGATCTCTTTATTGAAAAATTAAAGTCATAAGCTCTGTATATAAATACACTGACGTTGCTGGTCGCCTGCAAGGCCTCTGGCATAGACTGGGGTGTGTGGGAAGCTGGGTCCTTGGGAAATAAATAAATACTGTGAGGGGTAAGGAACTAGGAGGAAAGGAGGTTTGGGGGGGGGTTAGTGCTTGATGCTTATTTGTGGCACTAAAGGTCCTGCAAGATGCGCCTGCCCCCAATAGGGGCCAGGTCCACGAATTCTCCTGTGACCTCACTCCAGACAAAGGCTGGGGTATCTGGGATCGGGCAGGTCCTAGCAGATGCCCCCCCCCCACCCAACCTGGGGTAACAGGCCCTGGCAGGCCTCAGTAAACATGTCGAGACACAGGTAGCCTGCCCCTCCTCTTCACACAGCCCACACTGGTATTGAGCGCCTACTGTATACCAGGCAGATCCCGGCCTGACGTCTGTTTGCCTCTCCCGACTCTCTTCTCCGGGTTTGGGACCAGTGGGTCGGGAGGGAGTGGGGGGATGTTTTCCTGTGACCATGGCCATGCAGCCCCAGCCCCTCAAGGTGCCAGGAGGGAGGAGAGACCGCGGCCGAGGGCTGGGCAGCGATGGGAGGCCTGCAGGCCTCGGCCCCTAGAGCATCACATTGAACTCGGTGACCAGGAAGTCGATGTAGTTGCGCTCCTTGGTCTTGAAGGCCTCTGCGATGATGCGCGCGGCCTCGCGGTGCTCCTTGCCACGGAGGGTCAGCCCGTTCACCTCCAGGATCACGTGGCCCACCTTGAGCTTCCCACAGTTGTGGGCTGAGCCACCTCGCTGCAGGGGGGGTGAGACAGAGCACTCGCGGCATCTGAGGGCGCAGCCCGCCCGGCTCTGGCCACGCACTAGGTCAGGCCAGGCCAGACACACTCAAGCAGGCAGCTGCCGCCTGAATGTCCATTGTCCTGATTAGGAAAACTGAGGCTCGGCTAGAAGAAGGGTGATCTGAGCCCGGGTCTGCCCCTGGGTACAGTTCACCTCTGGGGCTTGAAGCTTCCCCCAGGATGCTGAGAAAGGGGCCGTCGAGGGGAGGGGAGGGATGGTCAGTAGGGTCCCAGGAGACATACCTGAATTGTGACGATCCTGGGCAGGGGCTGGCGGGTGTTGGCGCCCCCCTCAATGGCGATGCCCAGAGTGGCCGCACTCTTTGTCACGCGGACCAGCGTGGAGGTGGGTTCCAGCAGTCCGGGCTGCGGAGGTGAGGAAGAAGACGCTGACTCGGGCTTTCTCTGCTGACAGGTCTGGCCAGGCGCGGGGCTGGGCTGGCCATGACAGGCCTCTGGGCCAGCAGGGCTCAGACCCCAACCCCATGTTGGGGGCCTCGGGTGGGCCAAGCCCAAAGCTACAGCTGGTGTCCTCATCCCACTCATTCTACAAATCGACCAGAGGCTCAGGAGTTTAGGTGGCTCCCCACGGTGGCTGCCTGGTGGTGGCACCCCCAGATGAACCCAGGCCTGGCTGCCTCAACTATCAGACCACATCAGAGTGGAGCTTAAAGATTCTCAAGCCCAATCTTCAGCACTTGGCTTGCCAGTTTCAGCGGAGAAGGCTTCCAGGATCCTAATGCTGTGGTCTTCCTGAACGCTCACGATGCTGGGGACTCATGTTCCTGGCCACTCAGCAAGCGGAACTAGGTGGGGGGCCTGCTGCTCTCCCCTAGGGACCTGCCTTCCCCTCAGCTCTTTGCACCCCGTTCTGTGCTCACCGGCTTGGTGGCCCCCTCTGGGGTCCTCTCATTCCGAGGTGGTTCCTTGCTGCTCCTGCTCTTGAAAGATGCCATCTGCCTGCCGAGGCCTGGGCCGCTGGCCTCTGCCTCGCCGGCATCCACACCACTGTCCTCGCTCAGGGTCTGTCCACTGTCTGAGAGCTGGGAGAGCGTAGAGGCTGCTGGGAGGGGAGACAAGGGAAGAGTATGGTTTATCCAGCCGAAGTCGGGGGGAGCTTCTGGAGGAGGTGGTTGGAATGCTGACTAGACACCCAGGCAAAGATGGCGGAGGAAGGACGGGGCCCTGGGGCTGGAGGCCGGAGAGATCCCTCATCACCCTACTAAGGCCTGAGCTCGGCATAATGAGGAACATGATCAACCCAGCCCACAGAGGGTTTTGTTTTTTTCATTCACTCAAAGACTGTCAAATTAGGAGATTTCACATAAAAGCTAAAGTTCTAACGTCTAGAGAAAAAATAATGGGAAGTCTGCCGAGTCTGTACCCCTGCTCGGCCCTGACAGTCCTGAGCTGAGTGCGGGACAGACGCCCTCTGGTTCACAGCTAAACTGCAGCTGCTGCACTATGTGCTGAAGTAACGGCCTAGCTGGAGCTCGAGGCCCTGGGTTGGGGGTGCACACACACTGGAGTCTGGCAGGTTGCCCGGTCAGGTCAGGTCTGAGTCCTTTCTAGTTAGCTGTGCGCCCTGGGTGAGTTACACAGCCTCTCTGAGCCTCCATGTTCTTGTTCTCACACAGGCACAATGATGCCCAGCCACGAAGACTAACACACACCGCGTCTGGAGTGACGGTGTCCCCAGAAGAGAGACAGCCAGGCTGCTGGGGTCCATAACTACTGCCCTTCACCTCAGTTTCTTCATCTGTGAAAAGGGGGTGATAATAGTACCAGCCTCAGAAGCTGTTTGTCGGACTAGATGAGCTATTGGCACAGCCCAAAGAAAGCGGCTTCGGACACTGCTGCTCTGGCCAGTGCCGGGTCTAGAGGCGGCCCCAGGGTCAGGACAGCTGGGCTTTCTCTCCATACAGCTCGCCTTTCTCTCCACACAATGCCTCTCCCTGCTCAGCTGCCTCCCCTCACCAGCACTCTGCACCAGAGTCTGCCCATGGCTGGTCACACAGCGGCACCCTTAACCTCTCCTGACCTGGTCCCCCTCCCTGGCCACAGCGGGACCCCTTGTATTACTGGAGCCACAAGATGGCAGCAGATGCCAGCAAAATGCACCCAATTCACTAGCTAACTGGAAGAGGGGGGAGGACAGAAGCTGCTGAGGGCACACTCGGGCTTTCAGTGAGCAGCAAGCTGGATCTCCCCTCCACCTCCTCAGCTGGACAGCTGTTGGGAACTTGGGCTACTGCCTCGGACTGGCCTCCGGGTGTCTCAAAGATCCATCCGGTCCCTTAATTCTGCCTTGAAACCCCAAGGGCCTAGAGACTGCAGTCTCAACTCCCTCCTTTCTCCAGAAAGGCCTTTTGCCAGGCCCTGGAGGCAGAAAGAACAGGAGCCCCGTTGCCCTCCACAAGCTCCACTCTTATCACGAAGACTGTTAGGTGAATGCAGGGTGACCAGGGTGGTGGGGGAGGGGGCACCCTGTCCTACACAGTACCCCTCAATGGGAAAGGAGACTAGAGAGGCACACACCTGTCCAGACACCTGTCCATAGTCACTGTCCTCATTTGCCTGCTTGCCAATGGCAGAGCCAGGATTCAAATCCAGCCCTGACTCCCAAGCCCTTCAGTGGCTCAGGACCCCTGACACTGGCCTAGAAGACCCCTCCTTAGGCAAGCGCCGGGGACCCCCTTCACTGTATGAGTGTATGGGTGCACTCAGAGGGCGGGACCGGGTCACACAGCCCCCCGGGCGCCACAGCCGCTGGTACTCACTGCGTGTCTGGGGCAGTGCCCTCACTTCGTTCACGTCGGGCTCGCTGTCCGGGCGGTGCACCTCCACCATGACAAAGTGCTGGTTCGTGCCAGCCGGGTCTGGGCGGCCAGAGGGGGAGGGTGGTGGAAGGCAGCCTCCGGGCGGGGCCGCCTCAGCAGCGGAGCTTTTCAGGTGCGGGGGAGACTGGACTCTCGGGAAGGGGCCAATGGGGTGCTGGTTGACCAGGGCCAGGTGTGCATCCATGGGCCTCTTGGAGCCGGAGCTGGCTGGGGAGACAGAGGCGTAGATGGGAGAGGAGGGAGGGTCCTGTGTCGAGGGGGGCCCTGGGGCAGGCGCGGTGCCCCCCGGAGGGCTGCAGCTCTGCGGAGCAGAGAAGACAATGCCAGAGTGCGAGGACGAGGAGGAAGGCGGCGGGAGGTCCTCTGGGCCCGGCTTCCTGGGCTGGGTGAGCAGACCGTCGTGGCTGGGGCCCAGAGGTGGTGGGGGCGGCGGCTGGAAGCCGGGCAGCCCCTCGGCGGGGGATTTGACGTCATCCTGCCAAAAGACCCAACAGGAGTATAAGGCGTCTGAGCCCATGGCGGCGCAAGAGGGGCGACACAGCCTAGCGGGGCCAAGCCGGGGCTGGAATTCTGTCGCGCTCGCTTGGCTCCTAGCCAAGATGCTCTGAATAATGCAGCCCGAGTGGAAAACTTCTCCGCGCATCTCCGCCGCGATAAGCATCTGGATCTTGGCGGGCGTCTCTGGGGGTGGCACCGTTACCTTTGGGAACCGAAGTTCCTAGCATCAGCCAGGCTTGTCATGGGGGCAAGACTTAGAGGTGGGATGCAGCGGATGGAAAAACAAAGAGAGATTTCTGTGACTTTTCAGGGCGCTACTTGGGCATCTAGGGAAGGGGTGTCTGGAGGGAGTGAGAATCGACAGGACAGAGGCAGGCACCGGGCACAGCCGCCGCAAGTGGACTTGGGGCTGGAGGAAAGCTGTGCCCAGCAGCCCAGCTGATGGGGGGAAGGGAGGGCTGCAACATCCTGGTGTCTGGTGAGCAGCAGCAGCGGTGCTGTTCCAAATGCTTGATGAACTCAGTTCTCCTCGGCAACAGACTTAAGGATAAATAATCCCATTACCACCCCCACTTTATTTTTTAAGATTTATTTTTATTTATTTGTATATAAAAGAACTGGGGCGGAGGCCAGAAGTGGGGGGACAGTGAGAGGATTCACCAGAGACAGAGTGGGGAGCAGAACAGGCAGATCTATTGAAATACACTGCTGAGGGGAGCAGCAGGCAGATCAGGAGAGGTCTGCCGTGCCATGTAGGTCAGCTCCCTGGCCGGGGATCGAACTCATGCTGCAGTGGCTGAGGAGAGCTTTAGCGTGTTGAGACTTTAACCCCTGTGCCAGCAGGGAGGCCCACCCACTTTATAACTGGAAAAACTGAGGCACAGAGAGGTTGAGAAACTTGCCCAAAGTCACACAGTCAGTGGCAGAGGTGGGGTGTGAACCCAGACAATGGGGTCCTGAGCCCCGGCCGTTCAAATACCATGGGGGTCTCCATCACAGAGCAGCTGCCCAGGCTGCTATTCCCAGCACCACGTCAGGGTCTCTTCGGAGAGTCTTGCCACGTGCCCCAGATGTCAGCACCGACTGCGACAACCTCCTTCAGATAACGTATCAAAAGTAAACACCAGCCTGGCCCAAAATCAAACAGGCGGATCTCCTCTTAAGATTCTCCAGAACAGGGCCCTCCCTGAAGCGCAGTGGGTTAAAGCACAGCACTAAGAGGCTAAAGCCACTTCCGAATGAGTTTGATCCCCACCTGCCCCGGAGGTGACCACATGGCGTGGCAGACCTCTCCTGGCCCGCCCGCTGCTCCCCTCAGCAGTGTACTTTGTTTATCTGCCTGTTCTGCTCCCTGCTCTGTCTCTGGTGAATCCTCTCACCGTCTCTGCACCTCTGGCCTGTACTCCAGTTCTGTATCCATAAATAAATAAATCTTAAAAAAAAAAAATTCTTCAGAATAGCCATTCTGGCCTTGGCTGGAGACACAGTGTCACACACCCATGCACAGGCCTGAGGCCTCGCCTGCGAGCTCACAGTGAGTCAGGTACCTGGCCCTCCCTCCCCTCAGAGCCAGCCCTCAGGCCTCAGGCAGACAGCACAAGGTGAAACCCCAGCAAAGGGCCAGAGAGCGTCTTACCAGGGAGACATCTGGGAGAGTGCTGCTATTGCCCTGGACGGCCTCACCAGTCTCCTCCAGGTCCAGAGTATTCTAGAAATGGAGAGGAAAACAATGGGAGGAAATATAAGCTGAGAGGAGAAGAAATGGTTTGCTCTGTAGGGCACCAAATACCTTCATGTGGTTTATGCGACTTGTGACAAGCCCCATTCCAGCAGAATTCACTTTGGGCCAGAAAAGTCATGTCAACTCTCTTTAAGACTGTCTGGGCCTCCCCTGGACTATCTGCCGATGCTCTCAGGTATCTCCAGCCTTGTTTGGGAATTCCTGGGGCTTGGCCAGAGTGCTGTGTTCAACACAACACAATTGACGGCTTCCAGTCCCCTCCCCTCCACTGCTCCCTGTCAGGATCCCAGGAAGGTGCATAATGGCAAGAATCAGATAAGAAGTGGATTGAGAAAATCTCCTCATTTTAGTATTTTTTTTTAAGATTTATTTATTTATACATACAGAACTGGGGTACAGGCTAGAGGTGCAGGGGCGGTGAGAGGATTCACCAGAGACAGAGTGGGGGGGGGGGGCAGAACAGCCTGACTGAGAAGTACACTGCTGAGGAGAGCAGCGGGTGGGCCAGGAGAGGTCTGCCGCGCCATGTGGTCACCTCCGGGGCAGGCGGGGATCGAACTCACGTTGAAGTGGCTTTAGCTTCTTAGTGCTATGCTTTAACCCGCTGCGCCACCGGGAGGGCCCTGATTTTAGTTGTTTTAACCTGAAGGGGGTGGTGAAGGTTTAAATGGGCCTTACTTTGCACAAATGCCCATTTCTTTCCTCCTTCCCTAACTGACCAGAAGCCTAGTGCTCCCTCGACTGACCGTGAGCTGTGATCTCTAGGCCAGCTCTGGGAAACTGTATAGTACTGCCATGAGCCCATTTGTTTCCATCCCACTGGGACCAGAAATCACAAGTTTCCCGACAAACACCAAGTCTCAAAGACATCAGTCAATATAGACAACCTCAAACCTCTGGAACAACCAGGTACTGGGAACATAGAGGAGGGGAGATACCACCCTTGTTTGCACCAACAAGCAGGAAGAGCCTGCAGAGAGTGAGGGAAGACAGGCATTTAAAGCAAGCAGAGAGGGGTTATCAAGGAAGACTTCCTGGAGGAGGAGGCATTGTGTAAAGCTGAGTTCTGTAGGTGGGCTGAGTGAGAGGGAACGAAGGGTATATCAGAGGGAAGAACATGCATAAAACAGGAAGGACAGAGGATGTCTGGGAATCTTCCGGCAGCTCCACCTGTCAATCGGGGAGCTGCTTGGACTTGAGCCTGCGGGCAGTGGGTTGCTATGGAGACACACTCAAGTTTCTCTTCAGTGACTGTCCCCTTTGCTCACTTCCTTTCTAGCCATGCTGAAGCAATGCAGACATGTCAGGGCCTTTGCGCTCTCTCTGCCTGGAACATTCTTCCCCTTGGGCATCCATAAGACATAGCCTCTTGTATGCTTACCTCCTCCATAACCTTATTTAAATAACACCCCCTACTCAGATAATCTCCACTCCCCACGCTGCTTTATTTCCCCTCTTTGTGCATGAGGGGAAATAAATATACTTTACCCAGCAGACAGGTTAAGATCCTTAAAACCTCAGTCAGGTAACAACTCTCCCCAGCTCATAATCTTGCAGGGTCTTTCCATTTTTCCTGGAGAAGCTTCCAAATTCTACACTCATGGTGCCCAGCGACTGGGCCCTTACTATCCCTCCAACAGGGTGAGGAATAGTCCCCCTGCCCCAGGGCCTTTGCACTGACAGCCTCCTTCCTCTCGGTGTTCCAGCCTCACTCCCTCACTTCATTTAGTTCTGACCTCAGGAAGGTCTCCTGGAGCACCCCTATCTTAAAAAAAGCGTGCAGGTACACACCTCTCCCCGCGCCATGCACCCAGCCCTCCCTATCCCCAATCCTGCTTCCTTTTCTGTGTGACAATCATCACGGCCTGCTGAGAGATGGGCCTGCTCTCTGTCCGGCTCCCCTGGGAGAGCCCGCGGACAGGACTTGCGAAGGCCAGCCCCTCCCACAGCCTCAGGGTGGAGGACAGCGCTGACTTGCATTTACCAGGCCCATTCATGAGCCCACAGTCTGTCTGGCCTGACGGAAGAAGTCCGAGCAGGCACTCAGGCAAGGTGGGGGCAGCGGGCCACCCTGGACAGCAGGCAAGCTGGCTCAAGGGGGAGAGATGGCAGGTGGGGCGTGAAGGTGCCCTCCAGTGCCATACCCCTAGGGCAGACGCTGCCAGGTCACTGCGCACTGATTCCAGCCCAAATGTCCTCCCAGAGGCTTGAACGCTGGGGTCACAAAGGCCTGTCAGGGGGACCCACTGATTGAGAGATGCTTGGGACTCTTGGCCCGAAAACCTTCTGTGCAACTCTCTGCCTCCTGATACTTTCCCGCTCCCTCCGACCTGTCTCCTCACCAACCCGGCCTCAAGGAAGGACACTGCTGACAGCCCTGGTCTTGCCAAGCCAGCAGAGGCCCAAGGGAGAGGTGCTCTCTCGCTGACCAGTGGCACTTGGTCTGGTTTCCTCGAGGTCCCACCAGCTCTGCCAGGGCCGGTGGGCAAATCTGAGTCTCGGTTTCTTCATCTGCAAAGTGGGGGAAGAGCAGTACTTCCCTCAGGCGGCTGGTGTATTGACCTAGAACCTGGCGCCGTCTGTGAGGGGGGTGGGGGGGACCTGCAAATTCTCAGCAGCCAGATGCCTGCCAGTGGGGACACCTCAGTGGGAAGAATGCCCGCCCATGCACCCCTACTCCAAAACCACGATGAGTCCAGAGCTCCCCGGACACGGTCCAGCTGGCCACAGGATGGATGGCAGCGAGGCAGGGCGGCTTACAGCAAGCACTGCCTAAAGCTGGGCAAAGTCCCAGCCACGCCCGGGAGGGGCCTGAGGCCAGGTGGGGGGCCGGAGAGGGGGCACAGAGTTCATGGAGCCACCAGGCATTCAACCTGACCCTGGAGGTCAGGTGACAGTCCCTGAGGAGACCTAGGTCACGGGATTCTGCCCTGGCCTGGTACGCCAGGAGCGCTCAGTGTTCATTTAGTTGCTCCGTAAGCATTAACCAGGCCGCTTGGCTGAGGAGGAAAACTCACAGGGATACAGAGATGAGCAGGTCCACGCGTCCACAACATCCTGCCGAAGGCCATGCACACAGCAGCTGCCCACAAACTCCCGTTCAGAATCACTGATGGTGCTGGCAGTTGTAAGAGGGCCCACGGGAGGGGGAGAGGGAGGATCCAGAAGCCGGCAACACAAGCACGTCTTCGCTGCACACCCTAGGGACAGTGGGACTTTCTCTTGGAAAGAAGGATATCAGAGAACCCACCCCTGGGGGGGTCAGGGGTGGTGGTGGGTGGCTAATGAGTGCCAGGCCCCTGCCCGGCAGATGCCATGAGCACTGACTCAAGAGACTCTGTGACTGGTTCCCTGGCTCATCTTTTATGTTTAAGCTCAGAGAGGGAAATGATTTGTCCAAGGTCACACAGCCATTCTTCAGCAAATCAGGTTTCTCGCCCAGATCAGGGTGACCCCCTAAGCCCATACAGCCCTACCTGGGGCCTGGAATTGGATAGGGCCCGAGTACTGTCACGGGATCAAGTCTCTGCCTTTACTGGTATTCCAGAAGCGATGAAAGCCGGGATGGGAGGGAGGGAGAGGGGGAGGGAGGGATGGTGAAGGTGGTGTGGGGACAAATATCTAGCCCTCTGAGGGAGGCCTGAAGTAGAGCAAACGGCAGACGGGCCGGAGCCCGGCCCTGCCACACTCCATCTGCTGAATCCAGACGCTCAGGAGCCCCAAGTCCTGAGCCATGTTTCTTGTGCATCTGAAATAGCTGCAGACAGCAGGTTAAGAACCCAGGGGATGTGTCAGCAGAAACCCTGGAGGAGGCTTCGAGAGAAGGACCAAGGTCAGAGCTCACGCGGGAGCGGCCCCCATGTCCTGGCCACCCCCACCCCAACTCCCTGGGGCCTCTCTCCCCCTGCACCCTTTGAGGTCAGAGCCCAGCTGAGGGCTGGGCGGCTCAGTGAGTCCTGTTAGGGGGACCCTTCACCTGCTCTGCTCCGTAGCTGAGACTGGGGCTCTGACAGGAGAGCCCAGGTGCCCAAGGTCACCCACAAGGGCAGGCAGGAGGCTGCTACCATTGTGCCCCCCCCCCCAGTTCTTTCCTCCCAATATCTCAGAAGTCTCATTTGAGGGCAGTGGGGGACAAAATAAAATGAACGGCTGAGAGGCAGCCACTGGTGCGCACTGTTCTTCTGTGTGTGGGATTCCAGAAGGCCTCCTGTGGCCCAGGCGCAAGCCAGAGGGCCCCTCCCGCCTCCCCCAACCCCAATGCCCAGGCTGCTAGGCCTCCATCCTTCATTACATAGAGGTGCTATGTGCAGTTCCTTGTTCTTGCCTTTTCATCCCTGTGTCGGGACAACAGACTTCCTTGCCCCAGCCCTAAAAGACACCAGAGGCAAGGAGTGGTGCGGCCCTTCCCCCTTCTGTATATGGGGAAACCGAGGCACGAGTCACAGAGGCTTTGGGAAGGTCACCTTGGTTTCTTCTTTGGGGCTGCTGAGAGAAAGCAAGAGGTCACACGAGGAGAGAGGGGTGAGAAACCACACAGGGAAGAAAGCAAAGAGCAGAGAGAGAGTCTGGGAGAAAGAAGCAGAAAGCAAAGAGAGAGAGAAGGATGAGACACAGGCAAGGAGTGGTGGTGAGGTCTCTTCAGGCAAGATGGGGTGATGGGGAGCCAGACTGTGACGGGAGCCTGATTGTCAGAAAGTCCTAACGTTCTGGGGAGCTGCCTGGAGTTCAGGCATAGGAGCCTGAGGAGATGACGGGGCTACCTAGGTGACAGTCATGCTGGGGAGACAGGATGGCCTGACGCCAGACTTCTGTAGGCACCAGTGTGATGCCCTCTCCAGGCCCGCCTGTAACCCACACCTGCAAGTCCACTCTGGGTCTCAGTGATCACCACGCAACACACAGAAGCGGGGGTGGGGTTGGGGCAGCCCAGAAACTGGGGCTCCAGAGGCTTAAGTCACTTGCCCAAGAGGACATGGCTACCAGCTGGGAGACCCAATCCTGGTCTGCGGGCCCCCAGAGCTGGGCACGCGAGCCCCTCCCACACGGCCTGCTCGTGCTAGATGAAGAATCTGAGAAATGTTAGGCAGATCTTTCTTTCACTCATCTCTCCAGCTGACATGTCTATGCAGGGGCAGGATTCTGTCTGGAGGCCACAGAGCACACCCAGGCTGACTCTATTACACAAATGGGAAATAAACACAGTCGGCTGATGGAGAAGGCTGCAGCTGATTTCCTGTGATCGATTGTGTCTGGCTTGAGGGGAAACGGCTGAGGAGAAGGCAGCTTCAACCTGGGGTGGGTAAACGGGCGGATTCCATGGAATCTGGGCTAAACGGAAAACTGGCTCCGTTTGGGGCACATGTCTGGGGTATCTGGGTCACCAGAGCCTGCAGTCTGAATGCCAGGGCAAGGGACATTTTCCAATCGCATGGGCGGGGGACACTGAGAAGGCCAGGGCACTGGGAGATAACCACGAGGGCTGCTAGGGAGTGTGGTTTCAGTTTAGTCTGCTCCGCATTCCTTGGGTCAGCACTGGGACACAGGAGAAAATGGGGTGCCTGCCTGCACCCCACCAGCTCTCTGTTCACCGGGGAAGGCACGTTTGAAGGGTTAAAGCGTTGGGTAGGCATTTGACGGCTATAGCCAAAGGCTGGTGAGCTCTGGCAGGGTGCTGGCCCTGAAAAAAAGAAAAAAACCCAAAACTGGACAGTTGCAGAGATTGTGGGGGACTGTGTGTTAGCACAGCAGAGGCTCACTAACGAGCACTGGGGGTGTGGGCCAGGGCCTGGCACTGAGTGTGGATGAACGTTCCCGGGAGCGCTCTCTCTGAAGGAAGCTGTAGGCCTCGCCCACTACCCAGGGAAGGGAGGGGAACACCGGTCTCCTGCTGGGCCTTCCTGGCAGAGTTTTCCAGCATTGTCCAGACCAGAGGATTTTCAGGACAGAAGCGATGGAGGCTGATGGTGGGAGAAGCACTTTCCCAAGGGGGAAAGACGGGGAGTGGCTTCCAGAAGAGGGGGTTTCTGGCCAGCAGCCGCACATGCTGGCCGCATGGGGTGTCCAGGCTGAGTCCTGCTGCGTGTGTGCAGGGAGGGGACAGCCAGGGCTGACCAGCAGCAGGAAGAGCTGGTGCCGCCGCGTCCATCATCCCACCTCTTAGCATCTCTCTGCCTGGCCTTCCAGGCCCTTCCTGGGGATAAACCCACACACCGTGCACACCCACCCTTTCTATTCTCAAAACTTGGGGCACCCTACTAAATTCCACTACGTCAGACCCTGCCAGCCCTGTTCCACCTGCCAGAGGCTCCCCCCGACCCCAGTCCCCATCAGAGTGCTCAGCACACAGCCTTCCCTGCCCTCCAGCACGCGCCGCTCTCCAGCTACAGGCCTGCGGTGGCTGGCAGGCTCCTCCGGGCAGGCTCCACCTCAGGGCCTTTGCACCTCTGTTTCCAGTGCGAATGGCTCGTTCCCCCTGTGGGCACATTCTCCTCCTGACTCCTTCCAAGTCTTCACTCGGGGGCCACCTCTGACCGTTCTGATCCCTCCCCCCACCCCACCCCCACTTCTTTTTTTTCTCTCTTCAGTACTTTTCACCATTTCACGCATGGCATAGTCCAGTCAGTTATCTTACAAGCCGCCTGCCACCCTGCTGTGTCCCGAAGGCCATCCTGGCCTGGGATTCTTTGTTGGCCACTGTATTCCCAGTACCTAGAACTGTACACAGCACACGATGAACATGCACAGAAGGAAGGGAAGACGGGAGGAGGAGAAGACAGACAGACAGACAGAGCAGGGATGCTAAGGAGCAGCTGGTGAGCTGGGGGGGGGGGGGGCTCCCCCCGGGGGGCTGCACCACCAGCCTGCAGAGTCTGCAGCAGTAATGCAGACAGTAATGCAAGCAGGCCCGGTCTGGATCCGGACTCCACCGGTCCCCAGCGGAGCCACCCTGAGTGAGTCGCTTCTCTCCTGTGCAAAGTGGGGGCCATAACAGTACTCACGGGGAGGGTGAAAGAGGAAAAGAGAAGTCTGCCCGGCCCCAAGGAGAAGGCTCCCCAGATGTTGGCTACTGTTGCTATGGAGAAAGCTCAGGTTATTCATGAGGGCCGGGTCTGTGCTGGCGAGAGGCAGGCACTGGCCACTCCAGAAACGCCAGACACAGACATGCCACCAAGGAGCCCGTGGGCAAGAGGGATCACCGTCAGTGTACAGTTCCCTAGGATATAATGGGGCATGAAGAGGAGCCAAGGAAAGCCCAGGGAGGCGGAGAGGCAAGGGATGGATCTGGGGAGTCTTCTCAGAAGACGTGGCATCTCAGCCAAGGGCTGAAGCCACACAGGAACACAGCCAGGCCTTGTGAAGGGAGAACACTCCAGACAGAGTCTGCACAGGCCACCAGGTCTCAACGCCTCTGCGTCACAGAATGTATCATCCTCGTTGTACAGAGCGTAAAGCTGAGCTCGGATAAGTGAAACCACTCTGAGATCACACAGCAAAGGGGTAGCAGAGCTGGGATTAGAATCGAGACCATTCTCACTCCAGAGGCCGAGACAGAGAGTACCAGGAAGAACCCCACGTCCCCAACAAGGCTGGGTGTGGAGTAAGGGGTGGTAGCCCCCTACCTCCATCCCTGACTAAGTGGCGCCCACACTTCCCACCCGGCAGGAAGGACGGTACCTCCATCAGGTCTATAAGCCACAGCAGCCGCTCCTGGGGAGGAAGGGTGGACAAAAGGCAAAAAGAAAATGCATCAAGTAAATATCAGGGCTGGGGTGGGCACGGCAACCCCCTGCCACACACACACACACACACACACACACACAAATTCCAAATACACGGAGAGTACTGTTTTCTTTGAATACTTTGGGCCAGGGAGACACTGCCCGTTGCTAGGACCAGTGCTCCTGCACGAGAGGAACCCAGGCGTCCCCAAGGAAATGTACCTGTGCTACAGAGGAGCCTTCAGGTTACCTTGGGGTAACCCTGGGACTTCGCAGCAGCTGGGGTTGGGGCCGTGATTCCCATTTGGTGAATGGGAAAACTGAGGCTCAGAGAAGAGAGGTGACTTGTCCAAGGTCACACCTGCTCATGCGCGGCAGATCCTGAAGAGGACCCTGCTCAGAGACCTGGATTTTAGAGACATCCAGGTCCTGGGGCGGGAGGCTGAGTCTGGAGAATGGAGCTCTGGGCTATGCGTGTGGAGGGCACCAGGGTGCAAAGAGATTAAGGGTGGGTGGCAGTGGCAGCTCAGTGCTTTCCAGAAGCTTCCGAGTCCTACCATAGGAATGCTCAGGATGGGTTCCCTGCCAGGCTAGGGAGGGCAGAACACACCTGCTGAGGCGTGGAGGAGGTTGGCCCAGCGGCATCCCCTGGGCACTTTCTCATTTAATCCTCACAAGCTGGGGAAAGACGCATCACTGCCCCAATGCAAACGGGGAAACCGAGGCACCAAGGGGCGACGTGATTTCTTTCCATACTGCCTCTCCTGCCTGTACAACAATCCTTCCAGGATTCCCCAGGACTGGCTCATCCTCACCTGAAGTGCACGTGAGGCCAGGCAGGCCAGAGTCTCAGCGCTGTTCCCATCTCAGAAGCTTGGGGACTTTCCATCTGCCCCTGGCAACTTCCTACTCAGAGTCATGGCCTTTCTGAGGTCCGCTTTCCCGTGTGCCCCGTCCACAGAAAGGATGGCAGCACAGGGCAGAAACCCTGGGCTGGGACCCCTGCCGGGAGCCCTTCACAAGGTCATGGCTACCCTGACTACAGACCCGTCCTCAGGGCCTCAGGCTGCCGTCGTCCCCTCCAGCCAGCACTTTGGGCCATTTTACCCACGTGGAAACCGAGGTCCAGGGAGGCCAGGACTTAAAGCCAGGTCTGCTGCTTCCGAGTTAGAACATACCTGTCCTGCCCACGAGATCTCTCATCCCCACTCCTAAAGGAACCACCCCAGAATTAGTCTGCGGTCCTTGGGGTTTAGAATGGTGGCTTGTGGCTTTTAGAAGCCCCTCGTGGAGCTGGAATGGGAGAGCCCCTGGGGCCAGGCCCCGAGCCAGCTCCACACCAAGGCGCCACACCGAGGTGTGTGCACAGAGCCACCGTCTGCGGGTTGGGGGTGGGCGCCTCCTTCCAGCCCGGTGATGTATGTCCCCCAGTGGGACATCACCTCCACTCCAGCCGCTTCTGCAGCCCTGGAAGGATTCCCTAGCGCTTGCTGGCTCACCCTGGTTAGGGGTGAGGACCCCTGGGTGGTGGTGGTGGGGTGACAGTGACTCAGGTTGGTCAGGGCAGGCAGTTGAGCAGTCCCCCAGGAATTCAGAGCCCCAGCCTTAAAAAGAGTCACTCTGGAAGGTGGGGGCTGCTTCCTGGGGGCTGCCAACTCCTCTCTGCCACTAACCAGCTGAGTCTGCAACCGGGACATCACTGCGCCCCCAGAGCCCACACTGCTCTCTGCTTCCCGCAGGGCAAAGGGCTGTTCCAAGTTGAACTGAGATTCCTCCATCACAGCCCCCAAGGCAGGGTCTGGAAGCAACGGTGACTCCCCGCCTCCTTTTCCATAGGACAGTGGGGGTGAGTGATTCCAAGACAGGAAAGGTTCCCCTGGCCCCCAGGGCCCCAAGCCCCAGGCCCTTCCCACTGGGGAAGATGGTAATGGCTGTGCTCTCCGGTGATGGATAATCAGGCACTTCCCTGTCCCTTCCCTGTAATCCTCTTTTGGAACTAATTTGCCTCCAGGCTTCCTGGGGGTCTAATGACACCCTGACATGAACAGCTGGGGTGACAGGGACAAGAGCTGTCTTTTCTGGGGAGCTGGGGAGGTCTGAATCATCACGACTACCACAAACGCGCCCTCGAGGCTCCTCATGGATCCTCCTCCAATGGTCACTGTGTTTCCTGTCTGTGTCCTTCCCCGTGTTTCTCACTCTTCTCTCCCAGCCCAGCGCCCCAGACTGTGAGCCGGGAGGCAGTGCCATATCTGTCACCCCTTGTCTCCCAAGGCCCCTGCCTGGCACGCAGCAGGCACTTGGTGAACGTGAGGCTTTCCCAGGTGAAGAAAGCCGGGGCGGAGCCTGGGAGCGGTGTTCCGGGGGTTCGGACCCAGGTGGGCCTCACTCCAACATCTTAGCTCCCCGGCTGGCCGTGGGGGCGGGGGCAGGAGCGGCTCACCCTGGCCGAGCTGACGGTGGTGGAGGTGCCGTGGCTGCCCGTGGACGAGCCGGTGTCGCTGTAAGAGACCACGGAGTAGGTGTCCCCCGCCCCGGGGCCGGGGGGCTGCCGCGCCTTCATGCACTCGATCTCCCGCCTCAGCACCAGGTGGTCGAAGTGATCCAGGTCTTGGGGGGAGATGGTGCCTCTCACCTCAGAGAGGAGGGAGAACTGGGGGGTGGGGGGCAGGCAGAGGGAGCAGGCTGTCAGCAGGGCGCCCCTTCAGCAGGCCGGACCAACCCCCCACCAAGGATGGCATGCCAATAGGACCCCAGCCTCCCCTTAGTGCCCCAGGGCCCCAGTAGGTCCACACCTCTGTCTGGGGTGTCTGGGACGCTGGGCTGCACCCCCCGACAGCTGCTTCCCGCTCACCTCACCCTGTGTGACCGCTCACCACACAGGTGACTGAGCTCCCTGAATACCCCACAGAGCCCCTGACTGCATCTGCCACCTAGAAAACCCTCCTGCCCCCCCAGTCAGGTTCCCCGGATGTGGAACCCCATCTCCCTTCTCTGGGGAGCTTCTACACCTGAGACTTCACCAGAGCAGGGCTCAGCCCACCAGTCGCCCGGGGGGGGGGGGGGCTTTTAAACCGGCAGACGGCTCCATCTAGGCTCCATCGACACATGCGTGGGCCTCCAGGGTGGGAGGGTGCCTGGGTAGGGCTTGTCAACAGCCAGGGGGTGATGGTCAATGTGCCCCCAGCACGGGAGGCCACTGCTAGGCCCCTCCTCACTCTCACTGGCTTTCCCCAACAGCCTGTGGGCTTTCCCAGGGCGGGGGCCTGAGTGCTCCCCAGCTGGGGGAGAGGTTTAGGCTGGAGCCTCGTGGGTTCTCAGGAAAGCAGTGGGGAACAGAGGGAGGCCGGGGGAGCCTCCCAAGGGGCCCCGCCCAGGGAGGGGCCTGGGCACCTTGGCGTGAGTGTTGAGCAGCTGGAACAGGGCCGTGACGAGGGCCTCCACAGACGCGCTGCCGCCGCGGTACTCTTCCAGGTAGTAGGCCAGGGTGGCGCGCTCCGGCTCAGTCAGCAGGTGCCGCGCCTGCTCCTCCAGCAGCACCCGGGTCTGGTTCCCCAGGCTGCTCAGCGTCACCTGCGAGCCGGCGGGTCCCTTGTAAAATCCCAGCTGAAAGACAGCAAGATGGAGGCCCGGGGATCCTGGACTTCTCCAGAGCTAGTGACCACCCACAACGTGTCTCCCCTCACGTGGCCGTGCGCGATGCCAGGAGCTGTACTTGGTTATCCAGCAAATACCTGTGCTATCTGCTCGGCTCCTTGCGACCCAGAGTCAAGCCCTGGTACAAGGCTTCTCACATTGTTCCGTAGGTGGGGATCTCCTCCTTGGTAAGCTGGGGGTAGCAGTGACTTCATTTCCAAAATGAGCCCAGATCTGTGCAGACACGGCCCGCTCGCTCCGCCAGCACTGCCCCTGCCTGCTCTGCTGAGCCCAGGCTCTCCCCTTCAGTCCCCACTACTGCTCCCTATCGACACAAAGAGCTGCCAAATGCTCATAAAAACACAACTCTCCTGTTAGCCGCCCCCCTCCCAACCCCCCAGTTCAAAGCCCTTCACTGCATCTCATTACTTGAGGTTAAAGCCAAGACTCATGCGGCCCACCAAGCCCCCTAGGATCTGGCTGTCCCACCTGCTGCTGTCCTGTTCCCACTACCCCCCTCCCCACCGCCAATGCACCCCCCTACCATGCTCCTCTCCTCCAGCAGGCCAGGCCCTCTCCCACCTCTGACCGGGCCACAGCCCTCCTGCTCCCGCCCTGGCTAACCTCTAGCGCATATTCAGTTCACAGCCCAAATGTTCCATCTCTCCCTCACAGAGATGCTGCCCTGTCTCCCCACTGAAATCAGGTGTCCGGTCCTCACGGTGCCCGGTGCCTTGCCTGCATGCCCGGCCCACGTTTCACGAAGCTGTGGCCTCCATGAGGCCAAAGGCTGCCCTCTTCTGCTCATATGTTAACCCGTGATGGGAGGATGCCTGGTCTTGGTGGCTCTCCTGGGACAGTCTGGGTGAAGCGAGTCACCCGGCCCCGAGGCCATGAGGTCACCGGTGCAGGTGGCACGGCTCGCTGGGCCCTGCCCAGAGCACCCCTGCAGGAGCTCTGAGATCACCCCCAGGGACAGCGCGCACCCTACCTTATTTGTCCCTTCGGTCTTAGGAGCCCCAGGAAACCTGCAAAAAAAGACAAGCGCGTTCAGGTTCGAGTCTGAGCAGTTCCAACAGGCAAGAGCGAGGGAAAAAAAAGACCAATCTGGAATGGGGCTTTGGGAGAACCTCAGCTCCACTCACTGGGCTACTCCAGGGAATAGGAACCCCCCAGACAGCGGGGCGTCCCGCTTCATGATTAACCACGTAGACAGAGCTGTCTCAACCCAGGTGGGGGCTCTGTTTCCCACCCAGCAGCAGGCAGGGACTGCACGGGAGGGGGCATCAAAGGCAACTGGGACCGGTCGGGGTCAGGGCAGCAGGGGCCGCAGGGGCCCCCACGACGCCACGCCCAGGTACCCTCAAGCCCTATCCGAGTTTTCATGAAAAGTGTGGCTCAAGCTGCCAGAATTCCTGGTTTTCCAGAAGCAGCCAGAAATCCAGAGTTTTGATGGGAAACCCGATGCCTTTTTAAGTTGCTGGCAGCTACTTAAAAAATTTATAGTACTGGTTCAGGTGGAAAGAAGGAAGGAAAAGAGGGCAAGGGGGAGGGAGAGGAAGGCAGGCAGAAGGAGGGGGGAAAGAGGATCAGCTGCTGTGTGTGCTCTGGCCCCGGGGCCACCAGCCAGTCTGAGACTGCGGGTGGAAACCCCCAGGGACACCTTACATTACTAGCCACACGGCCCCCCGAATTCCCTCTGGGTGTAATCTCCAAGACCCTTTCACAGATTTGGGATGCTCTCCGGCATCCAGATAAAACAAGTAAGGGTCAAAGAATTCAGTGACTTAGGAGTTAAAGGCCAACAATGAAGAAATTTGCCTGCTGGCAAAGGAGGGCGTTGGAGAAGGCAGTTCAGCTTTCCAGGGGAAACTGAGGCAAGGATTTGCACACAGTCATGTCAGCTAATGAAAGGGGACCCTGGCACAGGGACCCCAGGCTCCAAGAGCCAGTGCAATCACTGCAGATCAGGACACAGTGGAAGGACAAGGGGACACCGCTGGCTTTCCAAAGTGGCCCCGGGGCTCATGAGCAGTGCTGACCCTGCTGAGTTCGTGGTGGTATCCCCGATCCGGGAACTGGCAATCCACTTGGTCTCGTCCACAGTGGTACGAGCATGGGGCAGCCTCCCAACATCCTTCACCGTCAGCATGAGGTGCTGGGACGACTTGAGCAGCTTGACAGCCTCATCATGCAGGATGTTGAGGAAGCTCCGTCCATTCACCTCCAGAATCTGGTCCCCCACCTGCCAAGATCACCACACAACACAGTTAGCTGGACGCCAACTCGTGTCCAGGACTCCTGCTTCAGAGCTCTGATTCCAGTTCTCTCTTAGCCTGCCTGTCAAGGTCACCAAGGCTCAGAGAGGTTATGTGGATGCCTGAGGGTCACACAGCATCCACGTAAGTCACCAGCAGAGCCAGCCTCCCAATTCTGAGCCCAAGTTCCTGGAACTGCAATGGCCATTTCCCCTCTACCTAGTAATAACTTCAAGGAGTGGTCTAGAAGGGGACTCCCATCAATTCCCTCATCTATTAATTAAATCATCTCAGAGGCTGAGGCAGGGGTGGGGGAGGGGTGGCGAGAAGCATGGAGCCATGGATGGCCATTCTGCTCCTTCTTTGTTTCTGACACTTGCACCTCGTGCATGCATTCTTACATTCTTAAGATGTAAGCAAAATACTCATTTCCTTAAGAAAAAAGGAATAAACAAGAAAAGTAGCCTCCGATTAAACCCATAATATACAGCTTGAATTCTTAAAACAAGTGGTTTTATTTTATAACGTAAAAACACTTTTTTAAATGGGAGGATAAAACAGAGAGCAGGAAACTAGAAACCCAATAACAATCAATATGTGACAAAGCAGAAAAGGCTGCCGGGAGAGGCTGAGGAGAGGTGGGGCACATTCCTCTTCCTTCCTCCAGGGGCGGGAGACAGGCCAGGAAGGGGGCTGCCCGAGTCACAGCCACTGTGCCTTGAAGGATGACCTTTTTTTTTAAGATTTATTTATTTATACGTACAGAACTGGGGTACAGGCCAGAGGTGCAGGGGCGGTGAGAGGATTCTCCAGAGACAGAGTGGGGAGCAGAACAGGCAGATGGACCAAAATACACTGCTGAGGGGAGCAGCGGGCGGGTCAGGAGAGGTCTGCCGCGCCATGTGGATCTCCTCCGGGGCAGGCGGAGATCGAACTCATGCGGAAGTGGCTTAAGCCTCTTTGTGCTGTGCTTTAACCCCCTGCGCCACCAGGGAGGGGCCAAGAAGACCTTTTTAACCTTCACCTCAAACTTCATTTCATCCCAGCAGTTTAATGAAAGGAACGAGCCTCCAAGAGACCCCTTGAGAGGTTGTCCTTTCACAGGCACGCCTCTCCCCACAGGTCTAGGATTGGGGAGGGACAACACACTCCATAGCACCCACATGACCTTCCACGAGGAAGTAGGGTGGGATGGAGGCTGCCAAGTAGAACACACGACACTCCCTTATGCTTGATTTGCAAAGAAATGACACATACTTTGAAAATATTTGTCTGTCCCAATTGCTGCATGGACATTAAGTATATTAAAAAAAAATGATTTGTTGTTTACTTGGAACTCAAATTTTAGTGGGTATTCTGTGTCTTTTATTATTAAAGCCAGTTAAATCTAACAAACCTAGGGTAAGGTGTCGATAACCCCCAGGGCAACGAGTTGGGGTGTTGGAGGATGCAGATTTAGTGCTTCCCAAACTTCAGATATTCTCCAGGCCCAGCACCCAGCTTTTGTCACTTATGTGGCCCCGGGAATTACAGGCACGCCTCTCACTTCAGCTTATCTGCAGCATTAATAACCATGAAATCCCAGATTTGCAGCACTAGTCACATTTCTTCTCGTGCCTGTTAAATAAGTACATCCCTCCCAGATTCGTGAGAGGCAGTATGGGGTTCCTGTGCCATCCCCCTGGGGACAGGCAGCACAGGGAGTCACCTCGGGGGAGACTCGAGCTGAACAAGACACATGCATCCACCTTCCAGTCTCTTCCCCATCCTCTCCCATCTTTATTCTTCCTCCAGGGCCTGTTTTATTTATTTATTTACTTTAAAGATTTATTTATGCACTCAGAAGTGGGGTAGAAGTCAGAGGTGCAAGGGGCGGTGAGAGGACTCACCAGAGACAGAGTGGGGAGCAGAACAAGCAGCTGGGCTGAGATACACTGCTGAGGGGAGCAGCAGGCGAGACAGGAGGGGCCTGCTGCACCATGTGGGTCACCTCCCTGGCAGGGATTGAACGCGTGCTGAGGCAGCTGCAGCTAGCTTTGCAGTGCTAGCTTTGTTGCGCCACCAGGGAAGATCGGGGACCTGTTTGAGAACCAAAGTTCTAGGCAAGGTTGACTGTGGGCTCCAGGCAGCAACAGAGTGGGTCTGAGCCCCCCTTTCTCCGTGCCCACTCCCTCTCACTCCCTCTTCCTGCTGGGAAGCTTCCCAAGGCCCAGAAATCCTGTCGGAGCAGGTTCATGCCTCTTGGAGACCACGAGCCACTCTGGCTTCCATGCAGTCCCCACCCCACCCCGCAGCTCCAGTAGCCAGGGCCAGTTGGGGGCAGAGTCCCATCTCCATAGCGCAGCAGGTAAAAGCCAAGCAGCCACGACACAGCAGCTTGTGACCCTCGGAGACAGCTCTCAAGTGCATCCTGCGCCTCAGTCCTCTCATCTGTAAAATGGGCAGGTCCCGACCATTTCCAGGGGCCGTGAGAATCAAGCAGCCTAACACAGCGGGGCTGTGGCAGCTTCTTGTTGGCTTGTCTTGCAGACAGAGGGGACAGGTGTAGTGACATCAAATGACCTGCTCAAGGTCACTGGTCACATAGCAAGTGAATACATAAGCCAGCTTTTCTCATATTCTCCCACTGCCCACACTGTAGCTCTTGCCCCGCACAGTGCTAGGCAGGCAGAGGGCAGCCTTCTCAGAAGTGGTGAAAGGGGAAGGGCCTCATCTTCCTGCTCCCCCAGCCTTGCTTCCCCTTACCACCCCTTTCCCTCACGCCCAGTGAGGGAGGAGGTGGCAGCTTTAAAGATCTTGATCTGGCTCTTGGGCCCAAATTAAACAACCACCTAAGAGCTCTATTTGCTTATTCACCTGACATGTTACTTTCTGCCCCCCCATTGACGTCAGCTCTGAGGTAGGCAGCATGGGGTGGGTGAACAGGCCCAAAGCGAGGAGACAAGGGCTCTGTGAAGTCAGGACCTTCCCAGGGGCCTGCCACGGTGGGGAGGCAGAGGCCAGGGGAGAGCCAAGGGCCACAGAGCCAAGCAGAGCTAAGCCGGGACCCCATCATCTAGAAACAGCCGTGCCCCCAACTGATCCAAGCACCGCCCCAGAGAAAGGAGAGACAGGTGCCAGTGTGATGGAGCTTCTAATGTTGTGCAGCTTACAGTCGGGGAGCCAAGAGCCGGACATGCAAGGGTAAACAAAGAAAGGCGGTTTTATAGTATTTGTCTCCGAGGGCGGCCAATTTATCATGGGTGATGGCAGAGTAGAGTGCGGCCCCAGGAATGCCCTTCATTTTAAGCTGGAGGAACGATAACCGCCATCATCTATAGCCCATTGAGTGCAGGCTCAGATAGGAGTCGGACGCTCTGAGGACAATGTGAAGGGAATTCAACAGGATACTGATTTCTCCCGGACTTCACCAACGACCAGGCTGTGGGAATCCACTTCCTTTGCCTCTCTGGTGGAACCAGGGCCACTTGGAGGAGGCTCTTGGAGCACAGGAGAATGCTGGGCAGGCCTGGAGGCAAGCTGAGGGGGTGACTCTTACTCCTGACCCCCAGTGACTGCACTAAGTCTTCCCTCCCTCAAACTGGAATAAGACCACCAACTGCTAGAGTGTGGTGTTACTACAGGAGGGCCCTCTGCTGTGCGGTCAGGAGCACGGACCCCTATGTCTGCCCTCAGGTTAAATTCCAGATTGCTGCTTACAGGCTGTGTGACCTTTAGTGACTTCCTAACCCTCTCTGTGCCTCACATTCTCTGGAAAATGGGAACAGCATCAGTGCCAACCTCACAGGTCTTAAGATAAAATGAGCTCTTCTAACTCTCCACTGTACCCCAATACCTGAAACAGCAGCTGGCACTCTGGCAGATGCCCCATGACTATTTAGTGAGCAGACACATGTAAAGCAGGTGAAATGCTTATCATGCAAACATAAGCGCTCAGAGACTGTCACCTGTAGTTCTGAAACACCGTGTTTAACCCTGAAGGGACCCCTTGGTGCCCCATCAACCAATCCGAGATCCTGAGTGTCTCAAAGCCTCCTCCACCTGCCTCCTCCTGGTCCTCCCAACTCTTACCCATCACTGCTCAGCCCCTGGCTTCCTGCGATGCACACAGGCGGTGCTCTATTTACACCTGGTGAAGGGAACCGAAAACATGGCTGCAGGGCAGCAGCCTTGCCATGGGTGTGCTGAGTGGGGAGGTGCCAGCCGCACCAGCTGGCAAAGCCCAAGTCAAGGCTCCCTGCACTACCGGTGCAAGGTTTTATTGAAATGGATTTTGAGGCTCCCAACTAGGCCCCTGCTGATTGTATCATTACCACAATGAAAATTCAAATTCCATTAAAGAGTTTTATTGCAATTATGAATCTTTAATGGTTTTCCATGTCAGGTATGAAACTTTAATGGGACTTTTTTTTTTGGTACAGTGAACAATGAAGTTTTAATGACACAACATTTGCTTTTTCCAACAGTTCAGAAGTC